CAGCATAGTATGACACAACTAATGTTTGCCACATTAACAGCCCTTTTATATCACCAGAAAAGTGCAAGAAGACTGAAAAACAGAAGAGTAATTAACTCGCTCAATGGACAACATGCCATTACTTTCTTCAGGGATCCAAGTTGCATTAAAGGTCTCTGCTGTGAGGGACCTCATGGAGATCCTTCTTCAAAAGAGACTTCAGGCAGCTACTGTGCACGTTAGGCTTAGTGACAAGGGTTTAAAATGAGCAAATGAAAATTACCCTCAAGCTCTGAATGAGAACCAAAGGACACTCTCAATTGGTGAGGAGTGGGACTACCCACAGACTGTAATAATGGCAATCCCAGGTTTGGGATCAGGGCTATAAGAGCACAGCTGAGATCTAACCAAGCTGTAGATTCATTTTTAGGTGTACATGGGGTGGTGGTGTGGAATGTAACTTTAGTCAGATGAGGTCTCCCCAGTAGAAAGAACTTCATCTTTCAAGCAACTTCCTTTCTCAGTTCTGGACCTGTTTTGCACTTAACTGCTCCTACCTCCTTCCTGCTTGTCAACCCCTTCCCTTGTAACAGGGCTGCAAAACCTTGAAATCCCCCAAGCCTTTGTGGAATGGCAAATGGCTATTTAGGGAAGTTGTAGGTACTCAGGCTGGGTCCTTGTCTCTTTTAATCCTTAAACAAGAATAGCCAGGAGGAAGACAGTCTGTGTTCTTCTGGAAGAGATTGCCAGTGACCTAATGTGACCAAAGGAAACAGTACTATGTCTCTTAATTGCTGTGTTTCTGATCTAGGGCTGAGAAGACCCCATCTTCTTTAGCACAATGTCAAAGAATCTGGCAGGGTTCATGTAGCCAGATATTGACTAATGGGTAAATATGCATGGATACCATGCTATGAATTGTGGAGTTTCTCTCAGCCCTGTTTCAGTCAAAGTGGTTACGACCTACAGAAGTTCCTATAAGGACTGAAAAAGGCACTGGATTTCCAATCCTGTAAGGACTGAAAATGGTCCACGCTCAGAGTGCCTTTCAACTCATCCAGTCGTTGGGGTAAGTGACAACTTCACAGCTCTGTAGACACGAGAGACAAAGGAGGAGGGGCAGCTACAACCGCAAAAGGAAGCAGTGTGAGTTAGGACCATCCCTGGCCTACACACAACTTCTGAAGACATCTAAGCTAAGAAGGGTAGACCAGGAACTTGTTTCTTGGCAGCTGTTGGAGAAAGGCAGTGTTTGCTTAAGGAAAGAGGACTGGGTTCCAGTGTAGGAACCACTTCTGTAGAAGTGCCACATTTCCAAGCACAGGCTGAGGTCAATGAATATATCATACAATTATGTCCACTGATAGTCTGAACGTAAGATGCAGTTCAAATAGGTGGAGATTCAGTGTCAGACTCTAGCTTATAATCAAAACCAGCAGCACTGGTAAAGCCTCTATGACAGTGTGCCACCATTTGCTATGACAAAAGAGATGAGCCACGCAGCAAGTACATGGGCAGTCTCTGCTGTCCTTCTGCACAATAAGCAGACTATACTAATGCAAAATACAGCAGTTTTCCTAAGTTTTTTTTTTTTTTTTTCAGAATCCCTCCCCCTCATTTTGAAATTCAGTGTTCGCTTGGAAACACCCGAGGCATTTTAAAAGTACTTTTCTGCAAATGGAGACAGATGAGACAGGAAAAAAAGAAAGTGGAAACCACACAAATGAGGTAGTTGTGAAACAAACTACTCACCTGGGAGATCTGCTGAATGCTTTCTTTAGCCTCTCAGCCAAATCTCTGCAGGAGAATGTTTAAAGCTGGTGCAGTTAACTAGGTATTCACAGATAGGACAATTATGGAGATAAGGTGCCAAGCTGAGAGTCAGAAGATTTTGTGTAAATAACCTCTTACATAGCAGTGGGCAAGTCACTTCATTGCACGGTAGTTTTACCCGTCTGCAAAACAGAGATGATAACATTGACTTTTCTTCATGGAACAGAACTTAAAGAACAAAAAATGCTGTACAAGCCTAATTCAGATTCTGCTAGCAGGGATGGAAAGACTCATGTGAATTTGGTAGGCCGGAATCAAGCCTTAGAAGTTTTAAGCACCTAGAAGTAGTTGTCATTGGTATAAATAGTCTGGTAGTCACCAGACAATAATGGTTTCAGTAGTTTTGCTTTACCTGGAGTTCTCTCAAACCCAAGGTCAATCTTGGGAAAAGCAAACATGCAAATTGCAACTTGAGAAATCGGCCTAAAATAACATCATTTCATTCCATCTTTAGACCTCATTCCTGAAATTGTTCAGCATGTAGATCTGCTAATGAAAACAATGGGAACTTCTCACTGCGGGCTGATGACATTGGTGATGTTTTCTTTATTCCCGTAACAGACTAATCACATATTAAATATCATGTGATTGCTGAGTCCTACCTTCAGAGAATTAGGTGCTGCAGACAGTGGTTTGGAACACAACTACTCTACGTAACACTTACTTACATACACCAGCAACAGATGCAGTCTTCTGTGCTGGTAATTTCTCTGCTTCCTAAATTGTTATTGTGGATTAGTATTGCTCTCCAGAATGTGATCCCTAAGGCATGGCCCATGCACGGAATATTCACGGGACATTAGTAGGACAGTTCAGTGATTTGCCCATGTCTCCAGCTACTCTGTTCTCTTCCTATTGAATAGAAATAAAATAGCAAGGTTGTGGATTTTCAACAAGTACAGAGAAAAATTCATCAGTGCTAAGGGACCCTGAAGAGGCTGCAAGAGCAAGTTCCAGCTCAAGTTGCTAGGGATGTATAATGCAATTTAAGACATTAATTCCAAGAAGGTCAATCTTTTTGTCATTCAGGCACAACAGAGCCTGCAAGCTGCTTCCAAAAGGATCAATGGCTGTTACCAGTGAGCAGCCTGACCCACAACCACTCTGCTCAGCGGTGTTTTGAGCTCCAGAAATGGACCAGTGCCCTCTCCATCACTAACAGTTTAGTTTGCAAACCCAGGCTCAGGTGTAGCAGTGGGAGTCTCAGAGATTTTAATGCAGGGCTCTGCTGACACAGCTGCCTCCCTCATTCCAGGATTAGAGCCATCAGCTTGTAGCGGTAGAGGCTTATGAAGAAGCCCAGTTCTTTGCTCATCCCCATGAGGACAGCAGCTCTCCCCAAACACAGTTAAGTGATTTTTAAATCAACAGCTCAGTACCTGCAATGTCACGGTTACTATGGCAGCCGTACCAGGTTTTTGTGCAGAGTGGTAGCAGTGAGTATTATGAACAGAAAGGAATTGCAACTCAGTGCAACCTCAAAACTTCAGAATCCTATTGAAATTAGCATCTACAAGTATTAAAATGCACCTATAGCTTTTGCCATTTTTTTAAAATGTATTGAGACCTAATTATTTCATTGCTCACAAACCAAAACATTACTACCTCCCTCTTTGGGGAAATAATTGGCTAATTCTGCATGGAGAAGAAAGGAGGCAGAGGTGAGATCTGCAGAAAACACTGTTTATGTTGTGACAAACCAGTGACATCTAAATAAAAGAAAAGGCATAGAATGCAATTACTGATGCATGGATAGATGCATAGTATGTGTCATATACACCTCTGTGTGTGTGTGCGCGCGAGTGTGCAAAGCAACAAATACAACTTGAAAAGGCTTCTCCCTACTACTCATCTATGTTGTCCATTTGAAACCAGAGGATCAGAATCATATCTCCAAACCCTACCTAATGTGTTTTTTTCTTTTGGGCTTGTTTTATTACTTGGCTTCAAAGCCATTGAAAAATAAATGACAGCATCACGTAGCGTTCAGAACAAGCTAGTACACAAATCTGGAAGAGGCACTGAAATTAAGTCTATCCATTGAGTTGAAGACTTGCAGGACCACTCGCTGCCTTATAGTGTCGAGGTAATAAGCATTGTGCAACCGAGGTGTAGGATGCTGCCAATACCACTCAGTTAACATATCTCAGCATTTGTGAAACTTCAGAAAGCACATTTTGACTGTTTTTCCCTCCCTTCAACCAAAATACTCATATCGAGCTGTGCCATATTTCGAGTATATTCTCAATACACTAATTTGCACTTTAAAACCCTAAAATAAATCCTACACTAAGTAGCACTTTAAATTGTTTTATAAATGACAAACAAGTCACACAGAGAAAACATACTATTCTCAGTCTATCCTCATGGGAATGTGTGGAGCAAAATGGGCAAATCTGACACCCTATTTTCATTATTTACAGGCGAGAGTAAATTTTACTCTATCTGTTTTCCAAATTCATGGCCTGCTGTAGTGTTTTCTATATGTAGTGTCCTGTGCTGGCATTGCAAATACTGTATGTGTTTCAGAGAACATCAGAAAATGGATTGCTATTTTAAAATCCACATTCTGCTGTCGTATTTCCATACGTAATGTACTCTGTGTGTCTAAAACGTGTACAGCCATTCTGCACGACTGATACGGGAAACGCTATAAAACAATCATCTGGGTAAATTTTGGGGAGGGGAAGAGCAGGAATTTTCCCCTCAATAATTATCGCACACAGGTATAAATCAGCACAAACAGTATATTTGAATATACTCAAATACTAAAACACAACTCACAGTCCACTGCCTCTCCAAAGCTCTGAGTGACAGTAGGCTTCATGACAAACAGGTCATTCATGCACCATCCGATGTCATGCAAAAACATAATAATCCAATTTCTAACTGCAGTGTTCTGCTCGCAGGACTAGGAACCAATGCACGCCCGTTTCTGAAACTGCCCCTCTATGTGGAAGTACAGGTGGCTGCTGTTACACCTAACGTGATCACGTTTTGTTTCTCCTCCCACTTAACAGACTTTATTTTATTTTGGTGCAGTGCACATGAACGCAATGTCTAGGACAGATGTGCTACCTTTTATAGTGTCGCTGTAGAACTCTTTAGCTGTGAACACTTAATTTGCAGCTGGAACTCTAATAAACAGTGCATAGTGTTTCAATAGCCTTCTGCTTATATGTTTGAAGATTCGAAACTGAATGGTGAGGTGGCCAAGGCGGCGCTGGCAAACGAAGACTGTCCCCACATAGACCAGGCTATTACGCCTGATGAGGGCCTGCCCTTTACCCGCTCTGGCACTCGGGAGAGATATGGACCCTGCTTCCTCTTATCAACCGGGGAATATCCCTGCCCGCCTGATGGAGGAATAAGAAAGGGTATGTAGCTGGGGTCCTGTAACCATGTAGTTAGCAACCGTTTTAAATAAATAAGAGAAAGTCAGCTATAGCTGTAGCACGCAATAGTGCGCTTGCTGTAGAGATGCACGTTTGGGCTGGAAACCACCACCTGATGTCTGCATTTGGAGTTTCTAACCTATTTCTTTCAGAAAGAAAAGCCTGAGGAGCTGTAACTACCCCGTGCAGCTATGCTAGGCAGTCGAGTCTTCCACTCCAGCTGGTGCAGTAAGCTATAGTGGAGGATGCTCTACAATGTCCTTAAATTAGCCCATCCTCCAAGGAGAGGCCAATTAACATTTCATAGCAATGAAGGTTTGCCACTTGAAAAGCTCACAGATTTTATCAGACTCTGAGAAGCACAGACTTGGAGGTGGCAGACAGAAAAGATGAAACACAAAACATCCTCAAGAAATATGAAATGGTTATTCGGCTACCTTGACAAAGCACTGAAACAAATTTGGATATTCATAGCTGTTTAGTTCAACAGAGAAGCATACAAGAACATCTGTTATCACAGGTGTCTTACAATTGGAAAATAATCAATCTAAAATCACTGTCCTTTCATAAATAAATCATTACTAGTTAGTTTCTCAGACTTCTGTCAGCTACAGATCTCTCAGAAGTAACTGCATTTTAGTTTGCTAATGGTCAGAATAATCTATTTAGCAACAGAAGTCAAATCAAATGAAAAAAAACCTTCTCTTCTTAAAATATGCTGTTTTGTTTAAATAATTTAACATGAGGAAACCATACAAACCAAAATTAAAGTTACATACATATATATGCATCAAAGTTGATAAGGAATGGGAAAACTGGAAAAGAAATCTCTCTCTCTTCAAATCAGTGTTTATCACTGGTGTACTGTATATAGTATATGATGTAGTCAATACTTTAAAACTGCAAAGATTGTATGATGTAACCATACACTGAGTATGGAGTATAGAATTCCCATGTGCCATTGTATGATGGGCAATAGTTATAGTAAATGCCAGTTATAGATAGTGTATGTATTTATAAGTTTAAAGCTTATCATCAACAAAGATATAGTTGGACCACAAAACTTTCATATGAAAGTATATCCTCTAAAATTTACCTTTGTAGCAAAGCGTTTTACTTGATTCTGTATTGGATAAGCATTGGCCACGTTCATTCAGGCTGGGCGAGTTCGGGTGGTTCCAGTGGATCAGGAGAACACTCCAAATGGCACATCCTTTGGGATGAGGAATGTATGGTTTTCACGATGCACTGCAACCGCCTCTCGTTACTGAATGGAACAGAGGCTGGTTGGCTAAAGAGTAATATACGTCAGCATATTGTTGGCCTGTCTGAAACACGTTGAGAGCATCTTAATTGTTGTTCCAACAGAATTTCATCCATAGTTTGTGCAACTCTCTGTACACTTGCTGAGCTGTTTTACGTGCATGTCTGGAAAAGAAGGGCGGGGGGAGGGAGGGGGGAAACCAAATGCATGCATTTTGGGGGGTTTTTTTCCCTTTTTTTTTTTTTAAATGCTGAGAACAAAGGAGTAGTATCTCTATAGCAACATAATAAATTCTTTGGATTTTGCTGCCTTTTCCCCCTCCTGCCCCCAAAGATACCAGAAACCTTAATTTTGCCTGAGGTGAAAATGCATGAAGTAGAAGGGAGAGGTATGCGTGTGTGTATGACGGAGACATTTTTTTAGGGTACAACCATGTTGCTGCCTGTAGGATCAATTACATAGCCTGACCATCCTTGAGAAATGATGAATTTTTTTTTATATATATATTTTTTTAAACTTGTTCTGTACTTCAATGGCCTTCTGAGTCATGTTGCAAGCGATACTACTCTCAGCATGTCTGTGCATGCAGATGCTATTGAACTGGCTACAATGTTGACCTCATTCTTAGTCCATTCTGTCATTGATCCAATGCTGTACTTTGCATTTTTCTTTTAAATGAAGGTTACGAAATGTCACGGAGCCTTAACAGCATAGCTGGCATAAGTGGAAAAGCGATAGGATTATCCTCAGTGTCTGCGCCCTACAGCTCTCCTAGTCCAGTGAGACGTTCTTGGTCTCCCATCCCATCTATTTTGTAGCATGGATCAGTAGCAGAGAATGGTCTAAAAAGCTTTATTTTCAATTAGCCTATGCTATGTTGCATATAATCCAGGTGACTAAGTCTGAAGATGCAATGTCTCACAGTAGCACCTGCTGGGAATGGTGTTACTACTGATGCTAGGTGACAACACTCCTAAATAGCACTCAGATGACAATAGGCAGGCATTTACGTAGTACTGGTGGGCCATACGTGCTGCATGGTATCAGTACATAGGATGAAGGGTAGATGCACCAGATAGTTTTCTTCCTGGTGCATCCTGCTAGTATATGCTTACTTTGGCTAATGGTGGATCTACTGGCTCTGTATGGAATGGGTTAGGCATTTAGTCGATGCTGAAACATGCCAACGATGGAAGATTTTGCTTTTCTCAGGATATTTTTGAGCCATAGGAACCCTGCAGGAGTTTGAGCAAACAAGCACAGTAGGATGAAACTTTGCATGGGCGCCTATTTTAAGCTGAAAGCAATACTCAGACACACTGTAGAGAGGTCTCAGTCTGGCTGACTGCATGGAAAAAAAAATCCTGTTGAAGAAGAATATGGCTGCCTCTGCATGTAGCTATTTCACCTTTTCCTCCTTCCTTTAAAACTAAGATGCCGAGCTTGATGTGAAAAGCGCAGGAAAGAAGCTCAAGTACTGATTGTATTCTTTACATGCAGATCTTTGCAAAGAAAGTCCAGTCATTGCTAAATATATGCCAACAGAGGCAGTCAGAGTGACCTGACAAGGCGAGATGGAGATGAACATTGATGGCTAATAAACATCTGTGTGGAACTGTGCAGGCATAGAAGACCTTCTCATTTGGACAAAGTTAACTCGCTCCATGCAGGTTTTATGGATGATTCTTCGTGGTTTTGGAGTTGTACTAGAGATGCAGGCTTTTTCTACGGCCAAAATGTAACAAAACTGTAGAAGATCCTCTTTTTTTTTTAATCTATTTTTTTGTTCCATAGCATGAATTGCATGAAGACAAAAATTGAAAAAACAAAAAACAAGAAACACTGCAAATGTATGATTAAGAAGAAAAAAAAGCAAAGTTATATATTTTCTTTCAAAGCTCTTTACTTTTACATACATTGTTGTAGCCAAAATGTAAAACATTATAAAACTGTACATTTCTTTGCTATGGATCGCTTCTTTTTGTATACAAGATACAGAGTAATGGTTTTAAAAAGTGCAATCAGGCAGTCATCGGTCATATTGACCATGCCTTCACAGTTCATCACACCAACATGGAAGTCAAGAACTTTTAATCCAACTAGAAGTGTATAAAAATAAGAAAAACTTTTTCCTGTCTGTTTTTGTTGGCATGCTTGTGACACATGGGACCTTCCTTCGGACCTGACAGTAACAGCTGGTCTAGATTTAATTTTCCAGCTCTGGTTATGTTGTATTTTATTGATGTATAGATCCAACGTAAAGACCCTTCATAAATTGTTCATATTAAGTAATCAGTATGAATTTTAAACAAAAGAGGTGTTATTTTAAAACTGGGACTTATAGTACAAAATCAGGAAAATACTCAAGTATAAATGGTCTCAAAGTTTAAGAAACAAGACAACAGCATTGTATGCAATTTAGTACTGAGTAAAATGCATGCACAATGTTATGCAAAACAATTCTAGCATGAAATAAATTTTGTATCATGGTTTCAGTGCCTGCTGTATAGTGTAAAGGGGAATCCTTTTCTGAAGCGATCAGGGGTTTCCAGAGACTTGCTTCTAAAATCTTGAATAAATACAGTGTTCTCAACAGAAACGTAGGAGAAAAGCTTGGTATTGCTTTGGTTCTAAAATGCTAATTTTGGTTAGTAGATAATAAATGAAGCCTGCAAACACTTGATACAACCGATGTCTGAAGAATTCACACCATTATTAATTTTACGAGGGTAGATTAAAAAACCCTATAATTATCTAGGTATTTTCCTTTTCCCTCCCCAACAATAATAAAAGTTTGTCTTTTTAGCTGATTAAATGAATTCAGTTTTTCTTACTTCTTTGGGCCCCGTCCTTCACTTGTTCTTCACTGAGCCGCAGCAGTCCACCTGATACAAAACTCTGAAAGAAATCCAGGTGTCCGAGTCGCACTTTATTTGCCACACAAAACATGCAGCAGTAAGAACCAAGAAACACAATGTGATTGAATTTCATTTTAGATGCCACAAATGACAACTATGGACTATGTGTCAACAGCATTCTAGTTGCTTGAGCATTTTTGGTAAAGTACTTCTACAAGGAAGGATACATCTTTAATCTCACGTGAGGAACTTCAAAAAAGCTAGCAACCTTCTAGGCAAGCAACAGCATCTGCGACTACTGATGAGAATGGAAATGTAAAGGAATAGTATCCCTATGGTCTGGAGGAACTAGAGATTAAACCCAAAAAACCAGAAGAAACACTCATGGCTCTGGTAAGTGCTAAATTATAAACAAAAAAACAACTGCAGCTGGACCTTGTCTTCACAAGACTCTACTCCAAAACGAAAATCAAGGAAGACCTCAAGCTGTGTTTTAGGAATAGAAGAAAGGCTGATAATCTGAATTTGTACGTAATTAGAAAAATCCTTTGTAGTCCTTGATGTAAAATTATGTACTTGATTTCTACTTCAGTTGACTATCCTTTCTCCCAAGAACTATTTTTCTCCCACTGTTTCTATGCTGTTATTCTCAGCTGAATAAATGGGCAATTTCTTATCTCCAGAGGTAAGATCCAGGTTAATCCAGGACCCAAAAGTTGCCTAATGAACAACCTTTCCTCTTACAATGTATTAAAAATCCAGAAATAGATTTATCTGCCCCATTTTTTTATTTAACACTAACTCAAGGGCCCAGCATGAAGGCTGCTCAAATTCTCCATTACCATAAGGAATACTAACAATTCAGCCCTGTAAATCCCACATAGGTCTTTTCCTTCCACTGTGCTTTGCGTATCTATGAGCCTTAGCTAACAGGCTGGGTACACACACCCTAAGGCAATTGTCATTCTGAGCTACTTTTTACATCTATCAGTCCCATTTTCATTTAGTAACTCCTCTCAGCTTATTCTGAGTTGAGGTAACCCCGTCTTTTGGGGTGACTTCTATAAACCCTTCAGAAACAGAAGAGCTCTTCCCATCCACCGCCCTTCAGGAGATGCTCTAAAGCTTAAGGTCCATCTGACCCCAGAGTTCCCCTTGCACAACAGTGGCAGCTCTGACTACAGAGGTAAAGAGGGAGACAACTGGAAAATTTCAGGAGCTGTTGCACCAAATCCTGACACTGAATACTAAGAGAAATTTACCACATCATCCCAGCTGCCTTACATTTAAGGAGCTTTTGCTGGGGTATTATGATTAAAACACTACTTCCTTCAAGCCTGCCCACTCCCATCACAGGAGGTATCTATCTTGATTAAAGCATTAAAACTATACATGTGGCTAGATTCTGACCTCAGGCTTGCAATAATGCCACCAACTACTTCTGACTTCACACCATCGTAAGTAAGAGCAGAAGCATGTTCTGTAGTTCAGTTACACTCTGCCTGTTTCCTGCTGGAAATGAACCTTCGGGTTTCTTCCTCTGCAAACTCAGTTTTCAGCCATGGACCCCCAGCTATAGGACCAGATGCTGGCAATTAGTGGTTTATTGCTTGCTAACATTAAAAGCACACCTCAACCACACCTTCTACTCATATAGCTTTTCCTCTGACTGCATGAAGGTACTCATTTTTTCAGGACCAACCTGATGTGTCTCCACAACTACAATTTCAGACAGCAAGGATCTGAGACATGGTTTCTGTTCTCTCACTCCGACAAAAAAATCTAGCTAATACCGCTGTGGTAACAGTCAAGCGCAGCAGTCATTAATCTGGATAAAGTGATTTTTCACATAAATTGCCTTCTCTCTCCTTAAAGTTTCAGGGCCAAAAAGAAGATACATCACTGAAACAAATGGCTGCTAGGACAAATGAGCAGACTAAAATACAGAAGAGAGCAAGCAGGGTGAAGGCAAGGGCATTCAGAAAGGAACTGGGCACAGAGCTGCTTACAAAAAAGACACCCTGAAAAAAAACCAAGTGCAGTTCTTACCCTGCCGCTTTGCATATCCTTTTCTTAGTTTCAAAACAAGGCAGCCTACCTCTCTGCTTTCCATATGTATCCTGGAAGCAACTTTGTCTCTGAGCTCACACACAAACTAACTTCACTTCATGAAAACGTGCTTAAATTATGCAGGTTATTTTTAAGTCACTCACTTAAAATTTGAGTTTTGGGCATAAAATACCTGTCTGTTCAAAGTCCCAAAGCATCTGCATTCATCTAGGATTGTAGGTGCAACATTTCTCTCTTAGGGGAATACAAATGCTTATTTGCAATCAAGAACAATATTTGAATTCAAATTGAACTTCAAGTTAGAAAATGGATCCAGAACTGCATCTCTTGACTTTCTTTCCTTACCTGACAAAGCAAATGCTTTAAAACTAAGCACATTCTTCTGTCCCCATGGAAAGATATATTCCCTGGTTCAGGCTGACAAAGCCAGGTTTTCAACCCTCAGCATTCACTTGAGCATTTAAAAAACCCTTATGCAAGTATATAGGTCCAAACATCTCCAGGAACCAAATATTAAGAGCGCATGCTCCAAGGCTTCCCTTGGTTTCTCTACTGCCCATGGAACACAGGTTAGAGATTCCTTAGTCAGCAAAAGGCAAAGTATTGCAGTTGTATTAACTCAGATATCACTCTAAGGTACCTGCACAGCTTCTGGACCCAAGGGGCTCAGCAGGGACAACACAGCCTATGCAGAGGCTGCTGACAGCGAGTCACATCAGAACTAACAGGAGGCATGTGGCTTGAGCCCAAGCAAATAAGCTCAGTAGGAGCCATGCTTTGCGGTGGGGGTGTCAGTGCACGTGGGTGACTGCAGAAGGGGCAGCAGTAGCACAAGAGGTGGGAAAGGAAGAGAAGGACACAGGATGGGTCTGAAAAATGGATTCTGCAAGTAGGAGGGAGGGGAGCATGTGAGGAAACAGCAATCAGTGGTGAGGGGGAAAGAAGAGGAAGGAGAGAGGGAAGTAGTAGCACTGAGACTTACCTAAAAAAGCATCAAGGACCACTGGCCTAGAAGCCTTGGCTTGGGACTCAGGAGATGGGAATTTTATTCTTGGCTCTGCTGTGGACATGCCGTGTTACCTTGGTTGGGGCATTTCAATTTTTTGTGCCTCAGCTTCTGTTTCTGTGACTTTACCCCCTTTTTAAATTGTTCTGAGATCAAAGGAGGAAAAGTAGTACTTAATACCTTCTTTGCCTCAGTGCTTAATAGTAAGACCAGTTGTTCCCCGGGTACCCAGCCCCCCAAGCTGGAAGACAGGGATGGGGAGCAGAATGAAGCCCCCGTAATCCAAGGGGAAATGGTTAGCGACCTGCTACACCACTTAGACATACGTAACTCTCTGGGGCCGGATGCGATCCACCCAAGGGTACTGAGGGAGCTGGCGGAAGTGCTCACCAAGTCACTTTCAATCATTTATCAGCAGTCCTGGCAAACTGGGAGGTCCCTGCTGACTGGAGGTTAGCAAATGTGACACCCATCTACAAGAAAAGGTGGAAGGATGATCCAGGGAACTACAGGCCTGTCAGTCTGACGTCGGG